CAGGCACAGTAGTGACTTAACTGTAGTACTCTTAACTTTCGAAACAATGCTTCTCTTGCTCTGTGTGGTGACCCGAAATGCCATGTCCTGAGTTCTGCTTTCCAGATAAAGGAACTGAGAAAAAAACACAGCCAAAAATCCCTCTGTTCGAAATGAAAACCCATGTAAAAGAACACTCTGAACCTCCTGTTTGTTGTGGCTGGGTCACAGCTGCACTAGGACTGCACAGCAGCGAGGAGGCCTGGAGAGCTGCTGTTCCATGGATTGGGAATGGCTGAGCATCCACTGCCCAAATCCTCCAGTGAGCAAGTTGAGATGGGACAGGTGGTGAGTGGATTTCAGTGTATGTATTTGAGTTTTTGTTTTTGAAGTCAGAAACACTAATACAAGCAGAAGGTCATGTGTAGAGTGAGACTAGTTCAGTACCGTCTGTGCAGGTGACTGTTCTTTGGAATCAGACACATGTCTGCAAACCTAATTTACTAATTAGAAAATAACTGTACAAAGCAGTGTTTAGGCATTTTAGAGACAAAAGGACACACTGAGCAAGGCTGTTTGTTTGTACAGTGAAACCTTGTTCTCAAGCTCAGCTTCGTGAAGAGCTGACAGGGGGATCCAGAGCTGGTATAAATCATCTGTTACAGTTAGATAAATCATGGGATTTATTGTTCTAGCAGGGCAATGCTGATCCTTTAACCATGTCCAATTAAGTTTTTATATTACTCTGACAGCTCCATGTATTCTGATCACTTTGTCCAATGTGTGTCAGTGCAACAGTGACACTTCTCATTGTGCTGCTCCTCACTTTTATTTTGATAAGCTTCAGAGAACAAAGTAATTGTGTGTTTCCACTGCTCAGCTATAAAATTTGTTTGTTTTATTAATGGGTTGATTTTTTTTTTTACTGGATAATTGAAGATTACTTTTAAAATAACCCAAGTAAGAGCCAGCCAGGAATCTCTTGCACATCCTATTCTAATGAGCACAGACCTGCACACTTCCAAAGTGACCGTGGGCCTGTCATTCACTCCGCTGCTCCCTGTGGCTTCACTTCCTGCTAAAGAACTACTTTCATGTTTGTATTTGAAGAGTAAAACTTCTTGAAACCTTTCCTAAACTTCCACATAGATCTCTTTGCCTCCCAGCCCAGGCCTAAGTTTGTCCCGAAGCCTCTGTGTGAGTGGAAGTACAAAAGGAACGCGGGGCCTGCGAGCACAGAAACAAAGCTGCTTTTCCTTGAAGCAAACTTGAACTTTGGATCTTTTCTCCTGTGATCTGTCATTAGAAAATGGCCTTTTCCAGATGGCAAAACAAAAGAAGTTAAGAAAACAAATGAATTAAGAAGAATTAATTGAAGCTGCCTATTACAAGTTGACATTATCCATCTGGCATTTCTGTTTATGTTTCTACATCGGTACATTTCATTCTGATTTAATAAGTTCCTAATTTTGTGGGGAGTTTTTTTAAGATTTCGAAGTGCCTATGAGGAACAGCCCGTAGTGAAGTATTGTTCCCAGTTTAGCTGTACATTTTTTTAATCAAATCTTTTTCTTTAGTGGATAAACTCACAAGATTAGAAAAGCCTCTTGAACTCCCTCATGTTTGAGTTGGCAAATTTCCTACACACAATTATCCACACAGAGATACTTCTAAAAGACCTTTATTAAGGCTCTACAAAGTCAAGCACTCAGGAATTAGGAAATGGCAGAACCAGGTTTGTGCACTGGTAGTTTGGCCACTCTGTGTGAGTACAGTGCAGTATCTGGTCAGTACCTGGTCAGAAAGTGAGATGAAGCTGCTCAGAAGTTGTCTAAAACTCCCAGCTTTGTGTGCCTGGCCATATAGAGGCTCTCTTAAGTACAATTAGATTTTTAAAAGTGGAACTTAAAATGTGGAACTGGGTGTAACCCACGTGCGTGTCAGGAGGGAATCCTTTGTGTTCTGTGTGTGGACACTCGTTCCTGACCCAAGCTCCCAATGTGTAACTTGGAGCTGAAGCAGCAATTTTCATTTCCACATTTCACTGGGAGGCCACACACAAGTGTGATTGGAGCCAGGAATCTTCGCTTCAGTTTTGAGCCCAAAAGAGCATTTCTGTGAAGGCTGGAGACTCTGCTGCCCATCCTCCTTTCTGATCTGTTCTGCCTGAGCTGTCAAATCTCACTCCACTCCCTCCCTCAGCGCTTTGGTTCAGACCAACTCATCCTTGTTCCTTCCCTGCTCCCTGGCAGAGAAATCCACGTTCAGATGAGCATCTTTAACTGGCTTTCCTTCCCTGCTGCCTGCTTGTTTTCCATCTGGGTTTTTCTTCCCATCACCCTGCCAGTGTTGCTTTTCCCTGCCTGCCTGTCCCAGACTTCTGGCCCCCAGAGCACTGTGGCTGCACCTGGGCTGCCTGGCAGAGACATGGATGTCTCACTGGTCCTGGATGCCTTTTCCCATCCTGGATAACCACTCACCTTCTGCTTCCTCTGTGATCAAATTTGTGCCTCCTTCCTCTTCACTCTGTGTAGAGTTTGGAGCAATGAGTCTTGTCACCCATCTCCTTTCTGTCTCCAGCTTCTTCCTGCTGTTCCAGGGCAGTATATTTATTTATAGTACGCGACAGGCTTTTATATTCCATCTGGATTGTTTATCAAATGAAGCAGTAGCTCAATGCTGTTAATGTATCCAAAAATGTTTTGAAACTTTTTTGTGTGTTTTGTTTCAGTTTAAGAATTGTTTGGGAAATCAGCGATGCAAAAATGCATTCAGAGGTATTTTAAAGAGAGGGGCATGAGGGTGGTTAATTGGAAAAATAAGTTGCTGTTAATTGAGCTGTGAAGAGATTGTCAGAACTGTGTTTGTCTGGCAAACTTGGCTCCTGCTTTAAACTTTTGCACCTGCTAAAGAAGCAGAAAATTGGAAAGGCAGCTTGTCTGAGGAGCTCGTGGTGGTAAAGAAGGTACTGAAGGCTCAGGCTCAGTGCAGGAAGGCAGAAAATGTGTTGAGACTGTTTGGAAATTATTTTATTTTTCTTTGCTTTTTGGAGTTGTTAAAAAATGATTAAACTTTTGGAACGTATTCCAAAAGAAGTGAATGGAGGAGAGTTTTCTAAGACACATGTGCCTGTTACCATCAACTTCCAGCTGGTACAAACCTGCCAGCACATGTTAGCTTGGGTTTTCTTCACAGGAACAATAAAAGGGTATTTATTTGTTTGGTAGTTGAAAAGAAGCCAGTAATCATGATTAATGTTCGTGGTCTATGTCTTAGACCTGGTTTTTTTAATGCAGTGTTAGACATGAAAGATGAAGTTATTTGGTTTTGTCTTGTGTATGTCAGATAAAGATAAATGAATCACAGAACTCAAGCTGGAATCCTGATTACAGTGGAGCTCAGCACAGAACCATGTGAGCTTCTAATAAATGTAATTGCTGCTTCAAAAGGGCATAGCTGAGCAAATTTCATATCAGATTTGGTAGTGGGGAAGAAATTAGATGGAAAACTGAATTAGAATTGGCAGTTTTCTAAGTGAAAGGTATTAAATGGCCAAAAACCCAATAATTTTGCAGTCGAGAAGGGGGACAGCTTTGGCTAACTGCCCATCCTGCTTCAGTGGTGAAATGAAGGGAAAAATTAGATGGAAACTAATATAAAACAAATGAGAAAAAGGGAAGCAGACAGCAATCCATTCAAAATGGGAGTTAGAAAGTGCAGAAAATGAATAAGGAAAGCACCAGCCAAAGGGAAAGCAAACCGTGTGGGTTGGAGTGCTCAGAGAGGGCGATGAAGAGCTGGAGTTCAGGGGAAATCTTTGCCCTAGGATAAGGACTGTTAATAGGTGCAGGTGGTAAAACCTGGTGATGATGTCAGAGGACTGGAAAGGTGATGTCCTTCCTTAGCAATGCTCAGTATTTCAAATCACAGGCAGGCCTTGAAGCCCTGGCTCAGTGTTTGTAAGGGAGGAGCCTGGGGCAGTCTCGGGGCTGCTGCTGAGGGTGGTGAGCAGGACAGGACAGGTCAGCCAGTGTGACAGCCCTGGGAAGGGATGGAAAAGGAGATGGATGTTCCTGAAGGAATGTGATCCAAGTCCTTTCATTCTCTTTGGTTTTCAGTTCTCTTCGGGGTTAGAGTCTGCCTGGGCCCCTGCAAAGCTCCATGTTTCCTGACAATCACACGTTGCTGAAGTTCAAAGGGAACCACAGTGAAATGGGGATGCTCAGGGGGATTCTGTGGGGACCTGGAAGATTCAGTGGTTCCAGATCACTGATGAAAACATACAAAACCACTACTGATAAAATAGTAACATGGCAAAAATATCCCTACCAGGACCAGAGTGAATAACAGCTCCATGTACATTCCCAGTGCAGTCCCAGGGTAAAAGACAAATGAATACGAATATGTTCTTGTTTTAATTACTGTTAGCTGTAAGTGATTATCCTTCTGTATGTCTCAGCTGTGAGAGCTGGGAATTTTGGATGCAGTTTGGATATTTACATTTTAAAAGAGAAGCTGGGTAATTGGAATGGAATCAAAAAAGAAGAGATGCAGAAATTACTGGTGGAGTGTGAAAATGCCTTAGAGAGGGTGAGAGAGAAAACTCAGTTGGCTGAGCTTTTCTACCAAAGTTGAGACTGTCTTGATTACAGTGCACAAATACCTTCACAGGGAGAAAACACTGAACACTGCAGCTCTCTGAGCATAAAAAGAGCAACACAAGAATCACCGACTGGCAGTGGAAGCCAGGCAAATTCAAATTGGGAAAAGGCACAAATTCTTAAGAGAGAATAACTGTGTAATTTAGGAATGTGTCTTCAAAAACTGTGAACAGAACAATAAAAGTTATGATATTTATGCAAATAGGTCTTTCATGGCTTTTTTTTCCTTTCAGAAGTATCCTTAAGGGGGGAGGAGGGGGGAAACAGGACAAAGAGGCTCCTGATGAGGTTTCCCTAGGGAAGTTCAGTCAGAGTTGTGGAGCTGGTGCTGCTGGAGCCAGTGGTGCCTGAGCTGCTGCAGGGCAGGGCAGAGCTTTCTCAAGGCCTTGTTGCTGTTGCATAAGTGTGTGATGTTGTCTTGTAACGTTTTATATCATGTTAATCCCATCCCCACCTGAAAAGGATCTGTGTGGACTTGAGCTTTTATGCCATGTGGCACCTGAACACTTCATTTGTTTCTGTGCTATGAAAAAAAAGAAGCCCCTGCACACAAATCTCATTCCTGGGGGTAAGTGTTGGCCAGGAATTGCCTTCCCCCTCCTCCATCCACCCTCCAAAGGCAGCACAGAGCTGTTCCCTGTTCCTGCCATGGAGTGGGTCCTGCAGAAACAGGTACCTTTGCTGCTGTGAGTCCCAGGAAGCTTTCCCTGGGCTGCAGGAGTGGCCACTGGAGCACCAGGGTGGGAAACTGCTGAAGGAGAAGTTGTGCCACGTGTGTGGCTGACAGGAGATTGCAGCTGTGCTGCCCCAGTGCCCAGCATCCTAACGGGAACATCCCAAAGGAGACACCACCTTCTCCAACATTCACTCCCTCACACGTTTGCCTGTGGATCTCCGCGCAACAAAGCACAACCACCCCTGGACACAGGGAGGATTTGCCTGCTGAACTAATCCCTGGAGAAGGCTCTTCCTCAGGCTGGGGAAGGAACCCAAGGCAAGGCAGCCAAGCCTGGCCCTTTTGTGTGTCATCTTAAAAGTATAAGTGTTTATGTGCATGATTAATATTTGATCATGCCTGGAACACGTGAACATGCTGACAACATTTATGTCACAACTGTATGCATTTAATAAGCATCTCATTTGAATTATTAATGTACAGGTCCCCCCAAAGTATTTTTGTGTTATAAACCCCATAATTTATCTAAGTACAAGCTGCAAGTTCGTAAATACAGCATTAAGAAGGTGGCTATTGCATAGCTGCTTTAACAAAATATCCTTTGTGGTAAGATATATAGGCTTATTTGGAGAGGATTTAGCTGCTGGAGGAAGGCTTCTCCAAGGAAGTTATATGCTTCTTAACTGCAGCAGACAGGGAATGTAATTTTTTAGTTTGTCCTTCTTGTCAGTAGGAATCAGTTTGACCTGACTGTGCTGTCTGATCTGAGCATCTCCCCAGCCCATTGTTCACCAGAGGCAGATTTATAAAACATCTGTACAGGAAAGAGGCTGGAAGGGACACTTTGAGAGGAGAGCTGGATTAACAATTGATGTGCCAGTACACTAAAAAGGAGGCAGTGAAAATACCTGGCCTGACAAGACTTGTGAGGAATCTTTTCCTTCACAGGGTGCCTGGTGAGCAGCAGTCAGGACTGCACTGGAGAGGCACAACAACGCAGCAAGGATGCAGTGCTGCAGCCAGGGAATGCTGGAGGCTGGAGCTGTTGTGCACAGAAGCATTTTCCATTTACCATAATCTTCTCTGACGAGGGTCAGGCGTAGCAGCCGAGGTAACGCTCCGTGAGGGCTGTTCTGGGCAGCCCTGAGTGGGAGACTGCACGTTGCACCCTTGTGTGTGTGACACACACAGGAAAAGTGCAGAAAGTATCTGTGAACTGCCAAAGGCACGTGAACCGTGCCCTTCTCAAGAACACTTGCTGACTGTTTATTGCTGACTGACTCTGCAGATTAAATTTGCATGAACAGCAAAAAGGAGTATGATGGGAGGGAACTTAACCTCAAAGAAACTCAGCAGCCGACACTTCGGATGTTTGAATTACATCGGAATCAAGCTCTTGATTAAATCTTAGCAATGTCAAAAGCTCAAAGCAGCAATTTTAATTGATGTCACTTCCCCCCTGCCATGTTGCTGAATTATCCCTTGCAATGTGCAGCACATCCGTGTCACTACATTAAATTTGCACGCAAAGAGGGGAGATTAGGCAATAAAGCCACGGGACAAACAGTGTGGAGTCAGGCATATCTTCTTGGCTTCATTCACTACTGGGTGTTTTTAAAAAAGTGTTTCCAAATCTGAGAAGAACTGATTCCAGATGTGCTCATTTGAAGGATATAAAAATCACGCTAGCACCAAGATTTATCTGGATTCTGTGCTGTACCTGAATGGATAACTAGTCCCATCTTAAAAACAGAAGTGCTATGAACAATAAAAAGGCCACAGGCAAAGGTTTTAGTGCTTCCTTCCCATTAGCATCCTTCCTTCCCAAGTATTTTAGACTAACGTAGCTGGAGAATTCCTCTGAGGCTCCAGCACACTGAACCAGAGGGGCCTGGTAGGACGTGGGTCGCTTGTCTGGGCTGTCGGGGCTGGACCCGTCCGTGGGTCTCTCCCCGATGTACAGGAGGCTCCGCTCCCGCGTGTCCTGCTCCGTTTTGAAGAGTTCGTACTCGGTGTGGGGCAGTTTGATGCCCAAAGCCAAGCAGCCATTCGTGGCTGTTATATCCTGCTCCACCCCAGCGCTCCAGGAGCTCGCCAGCCCACAGCTTCCAGGTTCTGAGGAGTTGAGCATCATCACCGTCACCTGGTCCATCGGCGTCACCCGAGCCTGGGTGACTTTAAAAGCCAGCTCGGTGCCACCCCGCACCTTGGAGGAGGGGATGCCTTGGGAGTAGTGCCCAGAGGCGTAGATGGTGAAGGTGGGCTGTTTGCAGAGCGGGTCTGAGTAGTGATAGTAATACCCTTCCCAGGTGTGGTTGTTCCCGTGGAATATGAAGTACCTGGTGAGGAAGAGCACGGCGGGTCGGACCTCGCAGTGGGTGCTCACCCAGCTGCCGCTGAGCTGCATGGGCAGCTGGGCTCCGGCGGGGAGGATGGGTGGGTGGTGCTCATCAGCCCTGTATATAATCCCACAGGCTGGGCAAGGGTGCACGTGGTGCTGCAGGAGACAAAAAACAACGACTCTGTAAACTGATAGGCAAAAAAAACCCCAACCAACCAACCAAACAAAAAAAACCCCTTTCAGAATATTCCAAAAGCTCAAACTCTCCTGGTCCACACCAGGGTGCTGCACTGCAGGGAGCCCGGCACGAGGCATCCGAGCAGATTAAGTGAGATAAAGCGCTGCCCTGGCTCTTTGCTATTCTGGTAGCTGAAGGACAGAGGGCTGTGTCCTGCGGCTGCCCCGTGCAGGGCTGCTGAGGACAGGCCGAGGGAGGAGGGCAGGGCAGGGCAGAGCTGCTGCCAGGGCAGGGAATGCTCCCCCGGGGCATCCCACCACTTTTCCAGGGCAAGCTGGGTGAGGATGGGGGTGCTGGGAGGTGTCAGCTCCACCACGGCGTTTCTGCACCGGTTCAGAACAATGACACAGTGTTTTTGGCAATGGAAAAGGCTGTGAAACCTTCCCGTGGGGAGGCTCCCGTGCCTGTGCTGCACCGCGGTGATGGAGCCTCTCCAGGACAGCCAAAATCCCGTCGTGTTCTGCTTCTCCTTCACCCCTTTCCTGCCCGTGCTCCCACATCCAGGGCTGTGTGTGAGGACCAGGATGGGGCAGGTGGGGAGGGAGAAGGACAGAGGGCTTTCCCAGCAGCCAGAATGGGAGAAGAAAAGGACCCACTGCAGAAGGAGGCCCTGACCTTCGCTCCCCCTCCTGTGCTGCCTGCAGAGCTCTGAGTCAAACCAGCCCTGCCCCTGATCCGCTGCCAGCAGGGGTTTTTTGTAGCCTGGAATTTTTTCTTATACTTCATATATCACAACTGATTTATTTTTAAATAAGCAGGGTTTGAACATTATATAATTTTCTAGAACACGAGCTAATCTTTACTGAACTGTCATAGGCAAGAAGGTTAAATAACTCAGTAGTTAACTGTAGGGTGGGTAATTTACATGCAAGTTGATTGGAGTCTACTGTAATTTAGTCATTTTCAGCTTGCTTTACTGCTACTGTCACGTTAATGAGTGCTGACAGTACACAGTACATTATGGCTAAATAATCCCAGAAGTTGGCAAATATATATGCTCTCCTTAGGCAGGAAATTCTTTGATAATGAAAGGTAATTTGGGGAGAATGGGTTTCTTTAAAACAGATATAAATTTAAGGGAAAAAGAGTGGTATTTTCGTAAAGAGAGTTAAAAAATAATTCCTAACATAGCTGTGTAACTCACCAGCACAGGCAAATGGATGTCAATTCAGAGAAAATAAAAAGAAGTAAAAATTCTGTGCTCAATAAAATTATCACTCCAGACATGGAGCCAAAAATCTTACTTGCTTAAACCAGTCGTGTGAAGTTATTTCTAATATATGGCAGCTTCTAATTATCGCCAAGTGGTGACATCATGTGTGGGTCCATTGGAGAGCTGTTGCCTGATTAATTACAGGGCTACTTTCAGAGAGTGAATTTCAGTATCTTTAGGTTTGGTTTTAAATTAACTTTTAAAAGTGTTTATGTTTACCATCTGGTTTTGCTCATATATATGGTTTTGGCCCGAGATAACACAAGTTTAACCAATTTGAGAATGTTGCTTTTGAGAGGGAGAGGGGTGTTGCTCTGTGTTTTTCAGAGTTCAGTTGGTGCAGTTCAGGGAAATGTTGGGGAAATGTTGCCCCAAAATAGTTTTTTTCCCGGTTATTTCCGTTCTATCTGGTAAAGTTCAGAGAGGGTTTTTTCATCCCGTCTCACTGCTCAATCATTTCTGAATTGATCAGTTGTGATTCAGATGGAAAGGTGCTTTCCTGGGAATAAACTGACCTGCTGTAAAATATAAAATAAAATAGAATAAAAGGCCAGCAAGTCTCCTGCTCAGTTTTACGTACATCAGAACGGAAGTTTGATTTCTGTGTAATAACATAATTGTATTGGGGGCAACTGCCTCTGCTAATGGTGTTACACCGAGGACTGATGAGTTACTGGCAGATGGTGCTGCCTTGCTCCTCTCCCCCTGAGCACCCCCCAAGGAGGGAAGGAGAGGGCAGGAAGATGAAGGACAGAGCAGGCAGCTCTAACGACATGCAGCCCAAAGCCTCCATGGATTTTGGTGTGGCAAAATAGGAAACAGCATTTCCTAGGAAAACATGGAGCCAAAGCAAGGCCGTTAACTCCAGGCCCACGCCAATGCAGGCTCGTTTCCCGTGTTGGTTTTGCTGAGCTTTCACTCACCCCAGTCCCACTCTGTCAGGAAGGGAGAGGGTGAACCCCACGTGCTGCAGAGCACCCGGGAACCTGCACCAGCAGCCCCACACTGCCTCACCCTCGTGTCCTTAGGACAGGGGGGCCAAGTGCAGCAGGCACTACTTAAACAGCAAGGAAATAAACACTGGCAAAGCCTGTGACGCGGTGAGGGGACCATGTAAAGGCCTCATCCTTACCACGGCGCTCTGCAGGGGTCGCTGGTAACCGGTGGGGCGGTAGTGGAGCCTCTCCACCCAGTCCGTGTGGATGTCCCCCAGGTACAGCTCCTCCACCAGCTGGCTCCCGCTCTGCCCTGGCTGCAGCAAGGGCTGGTAGTGCTTCTCCACCCGCACCAGGCTCAGCTCGTGCATGGCAAAGCCCAGGGCGGCCGTGCAGTCGCGCTCCGTCTTGGCGCTCAGCAGTTCGTAGAGGGCTCCGGGGGCCCAGGTGCGCCCCGGCGGCAGGAACCCCCCGCAGCCCTGCCCGGAGGTCTGGTTGATCCAGGAGGCCACCTCCCGCATGGCCCTCTGGCTGTGGAACACGATGCCGACCTTGTGCAGGTGGTAGTCGGCCTCGGTGGCGCCGCGGGTGATCCAGGAGGCCTGGCGGAGCCGCAGCTTGCCCTTGATGACCAGCGTGTAGGAGGGGTCGCGGCACGAGGGGTCCCAGTAGTAGAACTGGAAGGCCTTGAAGAGCCGGTTGGCGTAGAACAGGTAGGAGCGGGTGAGGAACTCGGGCCCCGGCCGCACCTCACACCTGCGGGAAAGGCCGTCCTGAGCCATCGGGGATGCACGGGGGGAGATCCCTCCCCGGGCCGTGGGGGGACAGGGGACAGCAAAGGGGCGGGAGTAGCACCGTGGGCAAGAGCCTCCCACACCTGGTGGCCACTCTTGAGTGATTTTAATGGGCATCTGCTACCAAAATGTGAGAGTGCTGGATACAGGATCTGTCTCGGGCTGGGGTGGGAGGCCTGGCAGGGGCTGGGGGCGCATTCCCGGGGATGAGGGTGCCTTCCCAGGAGAACTGGGTGCCCTCCCACGGTTTTAGGGTCACCTTTCCAGGGGGGTTAGGGGGATGCCTTGCTGGGGTCTGGGGACGCGTTCTCAGGGTTTGGTGGTGCTTTACCCGGGGCTTTAGGGACGCGTTTCCAGTGACCAGGGGCGTATTGCCAGGGTCTGGGGGCGCGTTCCCGGGGTTCCAGGGATGCCTTCCCAGGGTTGGGGGGGGTGCCTGCCCGGAGTCCGGGGGTGCCTTACCCGGTGGAGACCCATCGGCCCTCCAGGCGGGGCGGCAGCCGCGCTGCGATCCTGGCGCCGTCCTGCAGGTGGCGGAGCTGCTGCCGGCACCGCGGCTCCCAGCGCAGGGGCGGCTCCGCGGCCGCGCAGGCTGCGAGGGACAGGGAGAGGGACAGGGAGAGGGACAGGGACAGGGACGGGGACGGGGACGGGGACAGGGACGGGGACGGGGACAGGGACGGGGACAGGGAGCGGAGTCAGCACTGCGAGGCCGGCACCGACCACCGAGGGCCCCGAGCGGCCCGCGAACACACCCCCAGACGGGTGAACTCTCAGCCCTTAGCTGAGGACACAGGTTTTTCTATTTCGCTCAGGTTTTCCCACTTGAGTTTCATCTGAATCCAACTGTTTTTCGGATGAAATCTTCAAATAAAACCGAGCGCTCTTTGTTCATGTTCTCTTTCTCTCTCTCTCCCTCCCGGGCTATTGTTGAGGCAGTGACTGGAACATGGAATTACAGCATGGGAACATTGGCCTCGCCTGTCGCCCGCCATAAGGACAGTAATTCTGTCACTTACCTCATTTCCCATAACAACGGATGTTATTGGCTTAGGGAATGTGTGAACACTCAGCTAAATCCTGAAGACCTTTGCATGCACACACACACATGTACATATATTCCTATATATTATTCACTCTACTTAAGCTAACCTCTCTGGCGCTCACCGTGGGCTTGCTTCACTAAGAAATTTGGGATTTGCCTCTTCATAACACCACGGAATGAGCTCTCAGGGAAGCTCCTCCTGACACCCCACCAATTCTCTGCTGTCCTGTAACTGCCCTGCCTGGCAGAGCCCAGTCCCTGGTCCCGGTGGTGCTCAGCCCAGCCGGGGGTTTATGAGCCCAGGCAGGGTTTGCTTGCTCCAGCTGTACTTTGCAATTTACCCAGAAGTGTGCTGGACATTTTCAAACCAGCCTTTGTTCACTCCATACCAATGTTAGGACACAGGTTGATTTCCAGCCTGCCTATCAGCTGGAACAAAAGATCCAACATCTATATTCCCTTCCCACGGAATGACAATGTGAAATGTTTGCACACCCTGTGCCTCAGTCCAGGAGCTCAAGACAGAGTAACAACTGCTCATCTTAGTCCCTGTGTGCCACATATGTACCTTGATATATAACCTGAACCATCCTGTGATCCTTACAGAGAGATTTGCCTAAACCAGACCTTTCACTGGGAAGAGAAACCCCAAAGCATCTGACTGCACTTGGAGAGTGCAATCACCTTCCTAACAAGAAGTGTTTGTGGATGAACCTGGCACACACAGATCTGCTGCAAACCATGGGCAAACCACGAGCCGTTGAGCAATGTCAGCAGAATTCCCTGGCTCACGAGGTCGGAAGGAACACAAATATAAACAGGGTGAGAATCACAGCTGGGATCTGCCAGGGAGGTTCCCCAGATCTCCATAGCCAATTTATTCTGAGACAGGAGTTTCTCATCCCTGGCATTAACATATCCTCCACACAGGGTTAAATGCCTGTTACAGATCTCCCACATCCAAGTTTGTCACAAACAAAGCCCCAGACCAAGTCAAGTGGGAATTTGGTAATTAAATTGCTGTTCAAGTTAGAATGTGTGACAAAGCAGAGGGATTCCCACTCAAACAGTATTTTGTTATCAATCTAGTAACACATAATTGTCTGATGGACAAATTCAGTCACTCCACTGTGGCACCACCATATGCAGAGGTTTTACATGTCACAGTAACAGGGTCCTTCAAATGTATTTGTGTAGGCTGAAGCACACAAACCATGAGACTACCACGAGAGTAAACACATGGAAAGTGAAGCCCCCAGAGAAGCAGCAGAGCAGTACCAGAAGCAGCCCAAAGGCCACAGAAACCAGCCTTGGATTTCTGGTACTTTGCTATGCAGTGCACTAGAGTGAACCAGCGGGAAAGACACATTATTAGTGCTCAGGGCTCTTTTTGGAGCAGACTCACAATTCTATAGTTCTTACTGTCTTTAAGGGCTGGATATGGAGAGCGGGCATATCCAACTCCTCCACAGTTGCTTGCACTAGTGCTTCCTAAGACGCAGTTCTTGTGAGTCTTCATATGAAAACAGGAAGATATTGGATGACAAGACCCGTTGCTATTAGTTAAACCTTTAGTTTGGCAGCTGCAGCGTGTGTGAGGCTGCCCCATGAGTGCCAATTTAGTAGAGCCATTAAGAGCTGGGCATCTCCATCCTCATCCCAGTTCTGCCAGGACTTTGCTCTGTGATCCTGTGTGCTCCCTACTCCCAGGGCTCTTTTTTTACTCATGTGCAGGATATGCCAAGTTTCATCTGACTGCCCTGAGAGGCCCAATTACTGGCAAAGCTTTTGGAGAGCCATCAGAACAAGGGCAGTCCAAAACTGAACCACACTTCAAACAAACATGAAATTATTATCCTAGAGAATCCAATAAACTGAAATAACTGTATTTGTATTAGAGGCAATGGACATAAGGGTCAGATTTGCTCTTGCCCATAACCACAGAATGACCCCAGAGGTGTCAGTGCAATATATAGCTACATAGTGTATAGCTGTAGAATATACACAATATAACCCCTTTTTCAACTCTCTAACTGTGCTCTGTGTATGTTTATTGCAGCAGAAGCTTCAATATCTGACTGAACCCTTAGTGCTACTTTTGGCAGAAGCACTAAAAGTCTGCATTGTTTGGGAGCACAGACACTTTGGCAGTGCAGTCACTGCATTTTGACACATTCAATAGAAAAGGGAATTTTTATAATCTGGATCAAACTCCACGGGGAAAGAAAAAAAAAAAAAAAGGAAAAAAAGCCTCCAGAATGTAAATATTTGACATGATGGGAATTCCTAGGGATTTTGTCTTAACTGTACACAAGACTCCAAGCTGGATGCATCCTCAAACCAAAACCTATTGGCTTGTGTCCAAATCTTGTGGCTGCTTTTTTCTCTCAATTACTCTAGCCCAGCCCCACCAGATCCAAACATCCTTTCAAGCTGGAAAATTTCAGTTCCAGCCCTAAAATCTGTAGTTAGGGCACATCTCTATTCCAAGAGCAGCATAAAGTGGCTGTCACTCATATGTCACTCTGTTACTCAGCCCCTGGTGAAGCACATCAGAGCAGCTCCTCTGTCTTAAGAGAGACACAAATTAACTGCTCTATAGAGTTCTTGGGCAGGAGGAAGGAATTATTCACAATTCATCTTCGAGACAAAAATACTCATTCATAGGAAAATCTAAAAAACTCCCCGGCTGTGATCTCTTCCCCTCGCTCTTATCCCGTCTGTCTGTATCGATTAACCACAAGCGTTTCCAGAGAGCTCCTCAGCACAGAAACTAGACAAAACAGGGTCTTTTTCCAGCTTTCCGGTGCGTGCTGCATCCCAAGGACCGGCCCAAAGTCTCTGAGCAAGGGGGCTGCACAAAGACTCCAGCAACCAGGAATGGCAGGACCTGGAACGGCCGCTCATCCCTGCCATCGGCACAAACTGGGACAAGCCTTGGGACAGCACAGTGGCAAATACTGACCAGCTACTCCAGTGCTCATTTGTACAGGACCCACAGCATCAAATGATGGAAAGACAGAAGTGGAAATTCCCCGCAAAATAAATTTTGGTAAAGGTAAGATGAAAGATCCCAAGCCTGGGAATGAGAGCCTGCCAGTGGGGTTGTGCTACACAAGGGCTGTGTGCTCCAGATTCAGACCCACTTCTCACTTTCAAAGGAAATAAAACATCAACCAAGAGAGAAATACTGTAATATTCCTTGTTGGAAACAAATCTTGTTTGTGTTCCTCCAAGCAGATTGACTTTGGAAAAAAGCGAAGTTGAGTCACACATCTGTTTCTTCATAAATGGAGGAGAAAATGCATATATTACAGTTTGCACCAAATTAGTTACTGTAGATCAGCTCTTCTCCAGAGCTAGATTGCTAAATCTGTTGCATGTTATTGCCTCCTATGGCCAGAATTTATTATTCCCATTTATAATTCTAATGTTTCAGTTAGTCACCCATTCACAGGGATAAGATCAGGGCCTGAAGTCATGGAGCATTACACATTTCTTCATTTAGAGATGACATAAAACCTTTGATATTTTCTGAGGAATGTTCAGATTGGAAAGAAATGGACGATAAGGAACATATCAATATGTTCTGCATAAGCGAATTATACTTTTCCACACAGACTTCACTAACAGAGCAAAACAGTGTTTCCTTAGCATTTTTCTCTCCTGAGAGCACGTAGAGTGGATTTTGGGTTAGCCACTAAAGGAATAAGCATTCTTTTAAAAGCAAACAAAATGGTTGTATTTAGCAAATCAATTTTTCTTGCATTTGTGTGCAGATCAAGTTAGTGGTGCTTTTAATTCATTCAGAATAAGGCAATCCCAAGAGAACAGCTGCGTGGAATGAGATACATTTTATATTATGATATAAAGTTATAAAACTTAAATGGGGTGGAAACCTGTATCACAGCAGAACCTTGCATTTTGCCTATCTGCAAACAGAACCCAGTTCAGGAGAGGACTTAAGCACATGCTTAAGTCTAATTGGTTTCAGTGAAACTTAAGCATATGCTTGAAATTAAGCCAGTACATGAGCATTTTTCCTGATTAGTAATGCCTCCCTGAACTGGAGCCAGAATGTGGTCAAGTGGCTGAGGGAGGATGCCAGTGCTTTCACTGGAGTACTGTTTGGCTTCTGGAAAAGTATTTCTATTATTCATCCTTTCTCTCATTTGTCTGTAAAAAGGGTATATTCACATATAGCTGTTTCACCAGTCTGGTGCTCAGTTCATGCTATTTATAAAATGCTTTAAATTCACTGGATGTTTCTCAGTTCTGCTTTCGGGGCTGGCACAGTAACTGTGCTGTATGGGAACTATCACTGCAGAGCATCACCTTGGGTTTCCTGTGCACAGCAGAGCGTAATCATGTAGGAAATTCTGCAGATCCTCGGAGGAAACTCGGCCGACTCAAAATCCCAAGTAGCTCAGGATTTTAGAGAAGTTTTCAAAACATGCTTTCACCACATACTTGTAGCACAATAGCAGATGGGCTCAGACATCATAGTCTATGGCTTCAGCCTAGCTTTGTTCTGAGGCTGTGACCGTTGTCTGATTTGTCTCATGTCCACAGTTAAAATAGTGAAGGACTTGTGGTGAGTTGCCTGGAGGGTTTTAAGGCACTAGAGAAGTAAATATTTTGCTCTTGGAAACATGGAATCGTGTGTTTCTCTTGTAAGTGTCGTGTCCAGCAATAGATGACAAGGCAGATGGGATTTGTGGTAGGGTAGTGGAGGAAAGAGAAATACCTCAAAGATCTTCTTCAGTATAAACTACATTTGAATAAAATGGCTTCTTAAAACTGCCCTCTCTGGCTCTTTACACAAAAAAACCCAGGCCTAGCTCTGTGAATGAAATTCAAGAGCTTGACCCCAGTTTCACTGGAGTGGGTAAACAGGAAAGGTCCTGTGACTGTACCAACACAGCATCAGCAGCTTATTTAGAAGCTGCCCATCCCCACAGACTGACAGTAAACACTCCATTTGGAGAAAGAAGGGATACCAAGGAGAAATGGGATAGGGAATATCATGGAATTATTTGAGTTGGAAGGTACCTTACAGATCATGATATTCCCAAATGTGATGAACTAAGCAAGACATGTAAGAGCTGGCATAGATGACACGTGATGACAAATGAAAGCACGAGGGGCGGATGCGAGTCCATCTTCCCAAGAGATCTCCTACAGTTCACAGTAACCAAAACACCACCATCTTCAGCTACACAGAGATCTACTCACAACACACTTGCTGTCCTGACAGATGCAGGAGCCATTTCACTTCATGTTCCTCCCAGAAGATGTTCTGCAGACTTGGAAAGATGGGGGTCTCTGTTTTTCTCACAGCTAAATTGGTCAGTGCCAAAAGACTGGAGAACAGCTGAGCAAATCCATCCAGCCTTACTGAGAAAAATAAATGGGTTCAGCCTACACTAACATACCTTGGCTTGTGTTAAACTTTGATTGGTATTGCCACATAAGTTTGGCACAGGCAAATATATAACCAAAACCCAAAAGAAAATGAAGGAAAGAAGGGTGATGCTAGAGCTTTTTTCTTTGAAAACTGCTGAAAGTTTGAATTTCAACTTGGTGAGATAGGTGAGACCATAGTGAGATGACCTCAAACCCCTGGGTACCTAAACAGTGAGAACACATGAAGGAAAGCATTTGTTTGCAAAACCAAATGCAAGCAAACTCAGTCCAAGGCTGAACAATACCCGGGGGGTACTATCACAGCTCGGTTAAACTGTTAGAATTGTGGAATTCACATTCTGACCAAATGGATATATTACATCTATCTTCCTTAATTTAGATGAGTTGGAAACTCATTAGAAGAAACAGCACACGGATGTGGAATTAATGCCACACTGACATTT